CATATATTAAAAAATAAATATAAAATACACTATAATATATATTGTAGTGTGCTATAGATATCACATATTTATATTTAAATTATTACCATTTATTTAGTTTATACTATTATATATTTATTTAAATTAATATAATATATCATTTATATTGTTTTATGTCTAATATAAAAATCTACAAAAAGATTATTTAATATATATTAAAATAATACTTTGGAATAAAAGAATACTTTGGAATTCATAAGGGATTTACTTGTCTATGTACCATTCCATCCGATCTTTTAGGTCCCTACTTCACCACGACGATTATGCCATGGTGTCCCTTGAAGCATATATTCGATGGATAGACTTCATGCTTGTATATCCATTATTTAAGTCTCCAACAATTATTCCAATAATTAGATATCTGATTTAACCTATGGACGAATATGCAAGCATACGTTTCATGCTTGATTGAGTAATAGCAATAAGATTCCCCATCTGGAATGAGAAATGGGCAATCCTGAGCCAATTACTGTTTACAGAAAACAAGGGTTCCTAGAAAGCGATAATCAAAGGAAAGGATAAGTGCAGAAAATCAAAGGAAACTGTTCCAACAAATAGAGTTAACCTCGTCAGTAGAGGAATCAATCCATATATAGGACTCCGAAAGGGATGATCCACTACCATATGAATAACATTTGTTGTTGCGGTTTGAGCAACAAATGATGTTCCTCTTCTTATGCCTCTGAACCCACAAGAACTCGCGGAGCACCAAGAAACCACCCGCCCTCGTACATCTGTAACTGTCACAATGGTATTATTGAAACTCACTATTTAAATAAAAATGACTTTATATTCCAACATGTTATCAAACACAGGTACCTAGAACTTCTTTAACATTCTAGCAAGTTATCAAACATATACAATCGTTACTTCCTTAAATAACTTTTTTCTTCCCAACAAAGAAGAAGTTCCAATTTATAGGCATACCTTTCAGTTATCAAACAGGCCCATGGGGACTATAGGGTAAATGGTCTTTGTACACATGCATTTTGCTAAGAAGAAAAAGAGAGAGAATGATAAACTAATATAAATGGGAACAAGATAGAACTAAAAATAGAGATTGTATATAAAGAGATCATTTACGTCTTGTACATAGAGGTCACAATCATTGTTGTCCCTTAAATTTCAAAATGAGTGGTTGTAATAGTGTCATTAAATAGACACAAAGTTCCAAAAAAAAAAATTTATTTTACTTTGTGACTTACCCCATGCTATCCAATTTGACCTCTAAAGAGTGAAATCGGGTGATTGGGGTCATCCCATTTAGAGGTTACTATCGACCTTGGCCATTAGATCAGCAATTAGGCAACTAAGGTTTTCCCATTGTCTGATCATAAAGTTCAAAATAAAATCTTCAAACTTTGTGACATACCCCAAACTATCAGATTTCACATTTAACAGCTATATGTGACCTCCTAAAATGAAAAATAATTGGTCTTAAGCAATGTTTAAGAAATGTTCATTGTAGGATTGAGAATCTTCTACCCAAATTGAATTCAGCCATGGACTTTCCCGATGAATCAGTTACTCAACGTTGCATATGTAAACATACACCTTAATAATAATAAAAATCAATTTTTTGCCCAATTTCAATGGTTTTTGGGTGAAATTTGAAAATTTCTCTTCTCTTTTTTTCCTTTAGTTTTTTATTCCTCTTAGATTCGTACAAAATATTTGTGAAAAGGAACTCCAAATCGATGAAATGAGAGGTGAGAGTTTCAATTAATTATTTCCATAGCTAATTCAAGCTTTCTTATTTCTCTCTTGTTTTTCAACTTTTTAATGATTGATGCATTTTTAAACTCTATCATATTTATATCAAGGGATTTTCGATGTAGTCAAACCACTCTCTCTAACACACTCATCAATCATCACGTTCTTTCGAGCCACCTTTTCAAACATAGCCATAAATTTAACTTTTAAAGGTTTGTCTGATAAACAAACATGTAATATATACATAAATTACACAATGTAGCTTTAATCAAAGTCAAACAAACACAATGTAGCTTTAATCAAAGTCAAACAACCTCCTGAAGTTAAAAACTTGGATTTTCAGAGATCTAATCTGTACTGCATTCTTTGAATCACTAAATCGCATAATACCATTGTCATTCTTTTTTCAGTAGAGGTAACACCAAGATACCTTATTGGAAAATTTTATACACCACATCTCATTCTTCCTTCAAATTCTTCCACCTCTTCTTCCTCACATGCCACACCTTCTTTCTTTGTGACAAATATTCTTTACTTTATTTATAAAATCTATTCAAAATAAATTACATCAGATGAGATAGCTAGAGCGGACAAAGAGGCCCCCCTTTTGCCAAAAAGTCAACCAAGGAATTTGTCTCGCGAAAGACATGACAAAAATAAATTGAAAGTGGATCCACCAGATCTATAATCTGCAACCAGCTAAACCTTAGTTCCCATAGAATACGCTGCTCCTTCTTGCACTAATTAATTGCGTTCATTGAATGTCCTTCAATAATGCAGCTATTCCCGATGTTTCTGAAGATAAAATTTTTTAACCCTTGCAACAAAGCCAATAACACCGATTGGTTAGCCGTGGCTATATCAATAGGGTCATAATATGAGAAGATGACCTCTCCAAAACAGCCTCTCACCACACCCCCATTGCCTGCCAAATCTAGATTGCCCAGAGAGCTCCCATCAAAATTTAACTTAAATTCCTCACTCTCTGGTGCCACCCAAATACTCCTTAGTCTCATCTTTATTATATCCATCAAAAACAAATTTGGCAAGTTCAACAGAACATCTGGTTGTGAAAACATCCAACCCTCCTTAGTAATTGAGAGCCAAGACCAAATAGATAGTTTGACTTTACTCAGCAGTCTATCAAAAGATAAACTTTTTCCTTCAAAAGTCTGTCTATTTCTTTCTTTTCATAGTTCCCATAAAGTAGCTCATCTCGCTAGTTGCCACATCAAAATACCCCCGGAAGGTAAATGATTAATGGCTAACTGTGACATTAAACCCATCACAGGTTGAGGCAGTGAAGCTTGAACTGCAAGTAGCTCAAATAACCAGTACCAAATTCTTGAGGTAACGTGGCAGTGGATAAGAAGATGCTCCCCAGATTCCTCATCGGCTTTACACATCAAACATATGTTAGGTAAAATTTTACCCCTCTTAATCAAATTATCCACGATCATAATCTTATTTTGGATAGCTAACCATAAAAACACCTGCACCTTATGAGGAATAGGCCATTTCCACACTTTGGCTGTGGCAAGTAAAGACCATCTCCATCAATCATGAAAAAATAGCCTATAACAAAATTTGACCGAAAATACCCCATCGCACTTAACTTCTCAAATCACTTCATCTATTGCCCCTTGGGAAATATAAATTGAATTCAAGATACTCATCAAATCGTTCCATTGAAGATAAATATCTTCACTCAGGCTATTATACGGG